TTTTTTTTTTTTTGCCTGCAAGATGAGAAGGGAGATGATTGGTTATGGGAGACTTTTATACCAGCATGCAGAATAAGTCTGGTTCAGAACCAAGAGTACCTTGAAACAGTGCTCCTGTTTAAAAACAAAAACAAAAACAAAAAAAAACTTTGGCTCTCTCCTTTCTCTCTCCTCACCTCCTCCCCCCACCACACACACACACACACACACACACACACACACACACTATTCGTAGCAGATCCTGAATGGATGGACTAGTTCTTATTTGTTTTCTCTCTTAATTTATGCCTATCCCTGAGTTGTCTTCTCCCCAACCCCCCCCCCACATACACACCCAAGCCTCTATCTATTCTCTCCTAGTTAAAATGCTTTGCCTACAGACTTAGGCTAATATAAAAGTGGGGTGGGATGTATCTCTTCAGAAAGCATTGAAATAGATAGGCCTTTTGTACATGAATGAAGTGTCTTCAGAGATTGGTTAAGATCAATTCCATTTATATGAATTAGGTGGGGGGGGGGGAGAGGGAGGAGGGGAGGGGGAAGGGGAAAGGGGGAATATTCTTCTTCCCTGACCTGCAGAGATCATTAATCACCTTCATTTTTAGATACTGGCTTCTTACGATTTGCCAGAGGGTTTGATTAATAGATGTTGGGAAGCCCTCCACTCTCTCCAGTTGTTTTGAAAACTAAGTTGACCACCCAATAGTATTTTCTCTGATCTCTGTGCGTCAAATAATTCTTGTTCTAGTATTCTGTCTGCGACTTATTGGTCCGACTCATCTATTGGTTGGTTTAGGAAATGAATGACACATTTTCCCCTCTCCCCCTCCCCACCCCCCAAAATTGTGAATTTCTGTACATGAGTCTCTCTTCATCGTCTTTCTCTTAAGATGAAGTAAAGTCTCATCTTCATACCCACCCCCTCCTTACCATCCCTCTATACTTAAGCTTCTAATCTGCAGTTCAAATAATTCTTTGCCAAGTGGAGGAGTTCCTATCCCGATCATAGCTCAGAAGGAAAATAGTCACAAAGTCAGAAAGAAAAAAGTGCAGTACAAGGCCCTGTGAAATGAATCCACTTCACAGAGAGAAAAGCAGGAAATGTCCAATAGACAATATCAGATTCTTTCTCCCTTTTATAGCTAATAAAATGTAAAATGTTGGGAATTGGAGGGGGGGATCCACTGTAACATTTGCATGCAAATTGATTCTCTGTTTGTCTTACTAGAGACAAACTGAACCAGAGAGATTAAAGAGTAAATTAATAGAAGCAGCACTTCGACCCCTGTTACCCTTTCTCTCTCTCTTTTTTTCTTGAGAAAGAGTATTCAATGCTTGTTTTTTTTTCTCTCCCCAGACATTGACTTTCACAAAAGGGACTCAAAGGAGAAAAATAAAGTGGGGGGAGGCTCAGTTTAAAACATCCGCATTGTAATCATTTTGATAAGGTTATAAATCCGTTGTGCTAATGCTGGCTTATCAGAAAGGATCATTCTACCTTGGTGCCTGAGGGCTTCAGGGACCACAAAAGAGGTGAAAGAAAATTCCAGGTGTTTGTAAGGACATAACTAGGGAGACGGTTGTACTACTACTGCCTTTCAGAAGATAAGACCTTCATCTGAGGAGCAAATGGTCATTTCTGAGATATAAATAAGAAGGCAAATTGGGGGGGGAAGGAGATGAAATGCACTAGCAAAATTATCCTGAGCAATTTTTTTTCAAAGACATTAAAACTCAGGCACACTCAAGATTCCCCAGGAGGTAAACTGAGTCAGCTATCTTTACTCAACTGGTATCTTTTCTTTTTAATTCTTTCATTTTAAAAACTGTTAGCTGGAAATAGAGAATGTATTTTTTTTTTTTAATTTGAGGGTTTATGAGACTGTATTGAGTGAGGAGGTGGGGAGAATTGAGTCAATAGAGGTAGGCAACCTTCTAGAAGTTTCTATGAGAATCAACCCTGCCCTCCCCCACAGGGAGCCTTGCATTGGGATGAAGGGAAAACCATCATCCTGGGCTTCTGAGATTAAGTAATGCCAGCTGCCCACCTGGTAAATGCAGGAGCTGTAAGAGTGCTCTGTAAGGGATATGACTTACAAGGACAGAAGAGAAAAACACACAAGCAACCCAACAGAATGACAATCACAGCAATGAGTGCATGCATCAAGCCAAAAGATTCTCTGGTGTCACACACAGAGAACATATTTGAGGCCTTGGAAAAGTCAGACTTGGGGAAAGAAACCAACGGCACTGCGGTATACGTCAGCTGTCCCCAGAAGTCAAAACGAGGTGATGTTGCTGCCATTCTGCTCCGATGTTTCTGTTTTTAACATTGTATAGATAACGTATTTGGGGGGGGATTTGATCACTTCACTTTTGTCCATCACCTATTCAGATGGACTCAAAAATAATAGGTAAAGACCTTTTTATTCATATTTTTATTGTTGTTTAAAAAAATAATGGGGAGAGGGGTTACAGTTACATCAAGTCCAGTCATGAGCACATTTCTTTTTGAACAATGTCACCCCTTCCCTAGCTCTCTCCCAGAAAGTCTTTTAAACTAACAACAACAACAACAATAATAATAATAGAGGCACCGTAATTAATTTCAACTAACCTTTCCAGCCAAAACAAAGTTTTGGCAGGTGTAATCCAACCCCAAAATTCTCTTGCTTCTTGGTAACTCAAACCAACCTAACCTCTACACCCTTGGCATTTTGAATTGGGCAGTCTTTTGTTAGTTAAAAAACAAAAACAAAACAAAACTCTCCGGTGCATTTTAGCAGTAACCTGGGGACTAGCAGAACCTTTTCTCCCAGTCATGGCAATTAAAAAAGAAAGAGAGAGAGAGAGAGAGAAAGGCTCCAGACATTCCTATATACCAGGAGAAGAAGAGAGAGAAAGATACCAAATTGCCTAAGTTTTGACCCACCAGCTAGCACAACCAGACTCCTAATTAATTAGTTGTCCTGATGTCTTCGTTAAACCAAGCAAGAAAGTCTAGTTACCTTTGGAAAATGTCCCTCAGGACAGATATAAAGCATCCTAGTAGGATATTTTTTTAACTGTTTTAAAGGGAACAAACTGCTCCTTGCCAAAGAATTTAAACCAAGTCTGATCTGTGAGTCGTTTATTTCCCCCCTAAAGATGACTAGCTTGTTCTTTATGTGTTTCCCATCTCTGTAGAAGATTCCTTTCTTCTGATATACTAAATATGGCATGCTTCTACTTAAGAAAGCGCAGCCAAATCTTGAAGGAATAAAATATTTCTACTCAGAATAAGATTAAAATGACCCTGAAAAATACATTGTTTGATTAAATATATATATATATCCCAGTCTTGAAACATTACCCAATTGGACGGTATATTTACTTTCCTTTGTTTTGTTGTTCTTGTTGTTTTGTTTTTGTCGGTTGTGGGGCTTGAACTCAAGGCCTGGATACTGTCCCTGAGCTCTTTTGCTCAAGGCCAGCCCTCTACCACTTTGAGCCACAGCTCCACTTGCAGTTTTTTTGAGGAGTTAATTGGAGATGAGAATCTCACGAGGGGCTTTTCTACCCCAGCTGGTTTGGAACCATGATCCTCAGCTCTAGGCCTTCTGAGCTAGGATTACAGGAGTGAGCCACTGCAGCCTGGCAAATTCTTGACCTCCTGGTCTCCAAAACTTGCCAAGAGAACCCGATGAGCTTTTGATCTTTTGTTTCCTATTAGCAAGCTGTAGTCTGTCTTGAGTTCTTTACCTGCTGAAATTTGGGCCCTGCAGAAAGTATCTAGAAGCTTCTGAAAGAGGACTTTTTATTCCCTACCCCACCCTGCCTCCCTAGCCAAGGAAAGAAGCTCATTGGTCAAGTTTGCATCAGAATTACTCAAGTTGTCAATAACTCCACCCCTCGCTGAGGGAGGAGAGGGGTTTAGGAACCTTAAGAGAGAAGGAAATGTCCTGAGGGGGGTTTTTTTTTGGTATTCAAGGAACAGCCTGGCCATAAATGGAGTTATGAATCAGCACAAAACATCTGCATATTTGCAAAACTGGTAATGACCTCTCACCCAGGAGACATTGAAGGAATTTATTTTTGAGGTTGTCATGAAAACAGTCGCAGTTTATGCGATGTGGTGGAAAGAGACATTTTGCTCTAATTGGACAAACGGTGTATCTCAAGTCAGCTGAGCACCCAAGTGACATTTCTTCCATTGTGTGTGTGTAGTGGAGGTTGGGGGGGAGGGAAATCTCAATTTCTAACTCAAATGAAATCATCTAAGTGCCCTGTAGCCTCTGATAAACGTTTATTTATTTATTTTGTTCTTTCTTCTAAAAAAATAACAAACAGGACTCGAACCCAGTACCTGACACTTGGGTTCATTGGCTGGCACTCTACCACCT